GCAGCTCACTATTCGGTGAGAAACGCTGTAGTCGTCAGCAGCGTTGGCAAGCGAGGAGATGCAGCATCAACTGAGTTCCTGTAACATGCGCTGGCCCAAGCCGGAAAACAAAGACTGTGCTGAAATGCACGGCCCTCCCTACCCAGCCCTTTTCTGTACATCTCATTTGGGCGTGGAGATTTTTTCCTGGAGCTGGACGGTGCTGACTCAGCCAGCAGTGAACAGTTCCTTCGACTCTTGGTCTCTACAGTCTAACCTTCGTGCAGTTGCTGCCAGTTCAAACGCCACTTTTGCTGCCCCAGCGGAGAGCACGCAGAGGATGCATCGAGAGGTGTAGGCTCATGAATTAGGGTTTTGGGTTTAGGGGCTTAGGGCTAGGTTTGGGGTTGGGGTTTAGGTTACGGGGGATTAGGGTTTAGGGGCTTAGGATGTTTTAAGATTGAATCTTCAGGGGAGCTTTGGATTTCCAGGGCTTTCTGTGCCTTTCAGGGTTTGGGGTTCTGCGGTTTAGGCTTTAGGGTGCCACCTTTTCGGTTTAGTTTTATTAATTTAAGATTTAGCTTCTGATTTCTGGGGTTTAGGGTTGGGGGCTTCAGGGTTTGGGCCTCTTGAGGGGTTCTTCATGAGAATTAGGGTTGAGGTGTAGGGATCTGAAGAGCGAATTCTATAGAGGTTTTCCTTTTTTCAGCTAAACCCTAAACCCTAAACCCTAGTACCGACGATCTGTTTGAGGGTCCGGGGATCAGGGATTTTCGCTTCCCAGCTTCGAGGGTAGAACCAGAACCCTTCCCAATCCTTGTAAGACACGCATAATTACGAAACCCTTCAAACCCCAAACCCCAAACCCCGAACCCCGAACCCTAACCCTAAACCTAGAACCGTCAACCCTAAACCCTACACAAAACCCTAGACCCTAAACCCGAACCCTAAACCCAAAACCCTAGAACCTCAACTGCTCCAAGGAAATGGCCGAGCGTCTTCAGGCTGCGGGGGTTTGAATATGGGTCTGAATCATTAGTCTTTGGACAACCCCTGAGTGGTTGTTTAAAAACCCTACACCCTAAACCCTAAACCAAACTCTTACTGAGCGCAAGGTTCCGAACACTTTAATGATGAGAAGGCCTCATGCCTGAGGCAGACTGGACGAGAGAAACACCTTCCCGGATTCGTTCCGTCCCTTGATCGGTGTGGCTTCTCATGGCAGCACTTTCCGCACAGGAGGTGGCAGATGCCATTGCTCAGGTGCAGCAGGAGCTATGGCAGACTCGCTGGCGTGGAGTGCGACATGCACTACCTCCGTATTGTGTGTTGGATCTAAACCCTAAACCCTAAACCCTAGACCCTAAACCGTGGCTCTGTTCAGGAGGTCAGGCGCCTGAATCAGGCCGATCGATTCCTCCTGGCTGCACTTCAGGAGGCTCAGACCAATCCCCGGGTTGATGTATTGGCATGAGCAAGGTGAGCCTAGCCTCGGGGCTGACCGCGATGCCCTTCTGTGACTGTGACTCACGTGGCAGTTCCCTCATTGATGTGGTCGCGTTTCTCCGCCGTTCGCTTGCTTTGCAGGCGATGCGCTCATGTAGACAGGCTGGTTACAGCTACGACTACGACGACAACAACTACTACTTCCACGCCAACCACCGCCGCCGGCGCCGCCACCGCCACCGCCACCGCCACCGCCACCGCCACCGCCACCGCCACCGCCACCACCACCACCACCACCACCACCACCACCACCACCACTGCTATGACGACGACGCCTGCAAAAATAATGATGGCATTGAGTTTGCAATCTAGCCTCCTTAATGCGAGACGATCCATCGTGAACTTCATGCTTGAGCGCGAATAGAACCTAAACCGCTAATCTCCCTGAACCGAAACCCCGAAGCCCAGACCGTAAACCTACCTATAGTCTCCATTGTCTTTTTCTGGTTCAACCACTATTCTTTATTAAGGATCCTAAAAGGTAACCCAAAAAAGGAACTACAATGGAGACTAAACCTAGGCTTCGGGACAATGCCTTCTGAAATGTAGACCCCAAGCTCCGGGTGTAGGGTTTGAAATAGGCTTCGGAAATCAGTTGAGCTTTACCTGTAGTCTCTATTGTAGTTCCTTTGTGAGGTTACCCTAAACCCTAAACCCTAAACCATAAACCCTAAACCTAAACCCCTGTAGCATCCTTAGTACAGAACTGGTAAAACCAAAAAAGGGAACTACAATGGAGACTCTAGGTAGCGCAACTCTGCACATTGGAAGGCCTTGGTCATGGCTCCGTCCACGGCATCGAGCTCCACGTTCCGAGAGCGCCTTTTCTCTGGCTTCTGCGAAACCCTGAACCCTAAACCCTAAACCCTAAACCCTCCAAGCCCCAAACCCTAAACCCTAAACTCTGGTCTATGGTTAGTTTTTCTGGTCTCTTTTAGGATCTTTTTTATCGGGTGTTCTCAGCCCTATGGGTCGATGTAACATAGCGACCTAAGTAGGTAGTTCTCTAAATTGGGATCCACTTTAGGGTCCCTTTTATAAGGGTGCCGTACTATGTTGGGGATCTAAAAAGGGGCCCTAGTTTAGAGAGCTACCCAAATAGTTACCAATACTTTTTTTTTGGGGCTCCTTGTACTTTTAGTCATTATAGAAAGGGGGGCTTCGGGTTTAGGGTTTAGGACCAATGCTATATTTTGGGGGCTCCTTATTTCTAATTATGGTATAAAGGACCCCAAGACCCTATTCTAACTATAAGGGCCCCTATATTCGTCATGTATCATATAATATACTTTGGCCTTAAGGTAGTCCCTGTTTCGGTACTTTTTGCTATTCTGAGGCTGTAGGTTTTTCTGTTCTACCTGTTTGCAAGTGAATGCTTGTGAAGTTCAGGGTAAGTCAGGCGTTAATCAGAAATCTACATCACCCTGCACGGCCCTACGCCATACTAGAATGCAAAAACCAAGCCCGAAACGACCCTAAACCCTAAACCTTCAACCCTAAACCCGAAACCCTAAACCCTAAACCCGAAACCCAAAACCCAAAACCCGTAACCCTAAACTTCTTAAGCACTTGGACCCTGACCACTTCCCCAGAGACTCCAAAACCCCTCAAATAATGAATATACCCTAAATCATATTAGAGTTCCTATTATAAACTAGGGTATATTCCTTATAAGCCCTAAACCCTAAACCCTGAACCCTAAACCCAAACCCCTAAACCCTAAACCCTAAACCCTTTGTGTCCAAGGTGCCGCTTCTGCTTCGGCCTCCACCCTCCGGCAGCGCGGATGCTCGAGCCTGCCTTCACTTTGCATCTTGGCGAATCTAGCGGTTTAGGATTTAGGGTTTAGGGTTTAGGATTTAGGGTTTAGGGTTTAGGGTTTAGTATTTAGGGTTTAGGGCTTAGGGCTTGGGGTTTAGGGTTTAGGGTGTAGGGCTTAGGGCTTTTAGGGCTTGGGGCTTGGGGTTTAGGGTCTCGGGTGTAGGGTTTAGGGCTTCGGGCCCAAGTGTTTATGTAGTGCTACTTTTGGGGTTCCTAGGTGTTTAGGGTTTAGGGTTTAGGGTTTAGGGTTTAGGGTTTAGGGTTTGGGGTTCCTAGGTATTGCACTACATCCCATAACCCTAGTCTAACAGTGTAGTCTCCGGCGCTTTTGCTTGATGGTTTTTCCGAGGGTCGGGTTTCGGTGTTCAGGTTTATGTTTTTGGGGTTTGGGCTTTTCGGGTTTATGTTGGCGAATTGAAAGATTTGGGGCTTAAGGGGTTTACGCCCTGATGGGAGTTTATACCTGGAGCCTGGAGAAAGCATGAGACTTCCTCCGTGTTAGCTATACCATATTGTACCGCAGCACCCCATACTAGTACTACGTATTCGCATGGCGTCAAGCCCCCACTAAGGCAGGTGTACATCGCTAGAACATGTTGCAACTCCCTGAGAACCTAAGGTATAACACCCGCATACATCGTTGTAGCCCCCGTCCCTGAACTCTAACCCCCAAACCCTAACCCTAAATCGCAAGCCCTGAACCCTAAAAGCCCTAAAGTCCTGAGCCCAAAGCCCTAAACCCTAAAACCCAAGCATCCCAAGCCCCATACCCTAAACCCTAAGCCTTAAACCCTAAACCCTGAACCCTTATCCCTAAATCCTAAACCCTAAACCCTAAACCCTTTTCCCTAAATCATAAAACCCCAAGCCCCATACCCTAAACCCTAAGCCCTAAACTAAACCCTAAACCCTTATCCCTAAACCCTAACTCCTAAACCCTGGTCCTTAGACACGTGAGGTTGTCGCAGGCCGCTGACTTTGGAGCTCTACGGATCGCTTCCGCAGCTGGCTCAGACGAGGCCCTGCCTTCGTTTTGGATGTTTGAGGGATTAGGGTTTAGGGTTTTAGGGTTTAGGGTTTAGAGTTTAGGGTTTAGGGTTTTATGGTTTAGGGTTTTAGTGTTTTAGGGTTTAGGGTTTAGAGTTTTAGGGTCTTAGGGTTTTAGGGTTTAGAGTTAAGGGTTTAG